ATGTTTTTAAAATTAAACTTTAAAACACATTTGTGAATTTGCATCTAAAACACACGTTTTCGTATTCAGAAGAGTGAGCTCTATTCCTACAAAAGCGATAGAAAACGAAGAAAGCCTCTACAGCTTCCTATTTTACTCATTTTGACTACTGTAACTATGGCAGATCTAAACTTCTAAATTCATTACTAACAGTTATTACCTTCATTTGCAAATGCTATTTTGTTTCAAATGGATGCCAGCTTGTTTAAACAATTCCAGTTCTGACGTCAGGCCGAGAGGTAAAGGGGAAAACACTCGTACATTTTGTTTTGAAATCAACAGACATGCAATTTATTTGGTATCTCATATTTCATAGTTCATAGCTCATATTACTGAAATGTATCTTACGTGACGTGTTACACTATTACTGTTTACTTTTCCAACTTGATCTGATTGCCAACATAAAAAAGTACCGAGCAGTGAAATGAGTAACACAAGTAAAATCCTTCAAAAATGGAATTTCGTTGTCTAACAATTTTGAAATATTGTTGGATAAAGTTTGATTGAACATTTTCTCTTGCACTTTCACTAAATTCCACAATTGTCAGACTGCAAAGAAAACTGAAATGCAAAACAATGCATAAATTTATCCCTTAGTCATATGATTCACATACATCAGGAAAATTATATCATCCTTACATTCAGATGAAATAAATGATGAATAATAAAAACGAATCTATAACAAATCCTTAAAGAATTTTTCTCCGAAAAACAATTTAATGAAATATACTGAATGAAGTTATCCAGAAAATATGCAAGTAAATGTTTTGTGATTGGTTTTTTTAAGAATTCGTATTTCAAATGACGTCAGTTAAATTGATAAATAGATAATAATTGTTCGTCTACTAGAAGAATAATTTAAGATGGGCCTTTTGCAAGAGAAGTCTTAAACCAGCTATTAAACGTATTTAGAAGAGAAATGAAGTTTTGAACTAAGAAACCAATGTTACGTCTGATAAATATTTAAAGTAGTAAAAAAACTCTATCCAGTGAATCTTCTTTTCTACTTTCACTCACGTTTTCGATGGTAGTCGTTGTAAACAGTATTCATTCGGCAGATATATCTATCTGTGTTGCGCATGCATTTCACAATTAAAGAACGTTAGTAACTGTTGTCTTCATTTTTGACAAAGCTATGCCAAGAAGGTGCTAGAGAGTGTCTTAAACTTTTAGTAAAAGAATATCATGTATGACAATGTATGACTACAATAATCAGGAACCTTTTATGAATTCTGTTGATGCCAATAGCTCCTGTTTAAGATAGTTATTTTACAGCATAGAAATATATACTAATTCGTATGTACATTTTGCAATCCTTTTCTTAACTATTTGTATGTTATATGTATGCACTTTTAAAAAAACAAATACCTGAACCATAATTATATTTAAAACAAAACATTAGATTCAAAAACTCCGTTACTTGTAGTCAGATGATTTATGATTTATGATTAATATAAGTACATTTGCAAAAGGATACAAGGACACCCAGTACTTAAAGGAGGCAATGCAACTATTATCTTAAACCAAATTGACGTAATAAAGATTTATGAATTTGACATTTGTCAAGGGAGAAAACAGAATTTCAGTTTAAGAAATGTTTAAATAAACAGAATTTCATGCAAATCGTATTAACTTCCTAAGCTCACATTACTTATGGATGTTCATCAAAGGATAACCAAAAGAAGTTTGAAATATGGATTTCAATTCCAATTATGCGAAAATACAATGTAATAGAATACAAAGGTTTCGGTATAGAATTTCAACTTATAAAACTGAGTAAGTGACTTTAACTCAACTTTTACTGGAAAGTGACAAAATCTAATCTCATGAACAGATTTGTAATACAACGTTTGAATAGATAGTTTAATAGTTGGAAGTATATTCTTTACACTCCTTATATGCGAATGCAAATTTCTATAGAATATGGAAGAAGTAAATAAGATTAAACTGTTTAATAGGTACTCAAATTAGGAATTTATAAGTTGTGAAAGAATGAGATTTCGATTCTAATTTGTATCATCATCGGATACTGTCGTATGCAACAGTTAATATTACATTCTATGGATGCTACAGAACTTTTGATGAAGAGGAACAAGAAAAAACCCAAAAAGCTCCATGTTTCTGCCCAGGGCATAACAAATGAATTATTGCTATATTAGATTACTGTGAGTTTAGTGATATTTCATAGATTGCTAACATTAATATGACAAAATTGTTCAACGTGGAACTAAAATAAAATATCATTACAACGAATTAATTTAGCTTAAATTCATTTCAAAATAATAACATCAACTATCACAAGTACATCCTTAATGAGATCGTAAAACTATTATTGATTAAAAATGCACTGAAAGCATAATGCAGCTGATATAATTACTCTAATATTAATATCAATTAGTGGTTATATCCTATAGAAAACGTGAAACTAATCAGATCTAGATGGTTTTATATTAAGATTATACCTAACAAAATGCATATATACATTTTGTATAAAATTAAAAAATCAACTACCTTACATGTAAAATGATAACTATATACTTAAATATGAGTTTAGACAACTTTTTGTTGCTGCTTGTTTTCTAAAAATTTTTGAAATAACTGTTATTTTCAGTCCCTTGTAAAGGTCCGCTTTTAAGCTCTGGTATTACAATGGGCCCATATTGCCGAATTAAATAAGTCAACTCAACTAATTGCCATATTAACCTAACCTAACCTACCATTTCTTTTTTCACTTCTACTAAATAATACCAAACCATATGAAAATTATAAAAGCAGTAATATTCTATTTGGATACAATATGTATAGTAAGCACTTTTATATACTAAATTTTTAGCATTAGATACATATTTGAGTAATTTCAAAAAAATAAAATACTTTCTTTTTTAAATAAAAATAAAGCAAAGTGGTGCCGTGTTTGGTCAAAAAATCGCGTACAACAAGAATTTTCCATAGTAAAAATCGCTAAATGCACTTGAGGTAGTCTCACATTAACAGCTGCTGTAAACAAACTAATTGACAGATGGCGCTCAAATTTGTACCATTTTTGAAGAAAGGTATATTTTTATATGTGAAATTGATAAAGTTGATCATTTGTGCTTTTATTAAAATCAGATCATTAGTGCTTGTCATAAAGTGAATATATATACAGTCAGCGACAAAACTCTACATACACCCCCCATTTTTGCTAGCTCGTAAATCCAAGGACATAATAGAAAAAAGTAATGATACAGTTTTGTTTAGAACTGTTTTTTAATAATAATAAACAAAAGAAAATCCATTCATCAATAAAAATTAACAAAGTTATTCGAAAAAAACCTAAAAAAATCATTGACAAAAGTCTACATACACTTCATTGGTTGTTAGATATAGTCGACAGTAATTTAAATGTTAAACGGGAAAGTACCGTTTTTCATATTTCATGCTTGTGGCATGAGTCATACATTTATATAATGCACTTAGTTGTGCTTTGAGAGTGGTATTTAATTGACACGATGGGTCCACGAAAAGAATTTCAAGTGATATGCGAAATCTGGTTATTAAGCATAGAAATGAAAAAAAACCTTATGGTAAAAATATCAAAACTAGTAAATTTGACTCGATCAACAGTTCAGACGATAATAAAAAATTATAAAAATAGTGGTTCTATTGAAAATAAGCCTCGCAGTGGCCGCCCAAGGATACTCATACGTAGGGATGTCAGCTTGGTTTTAAAAGAAGTTAACAAAAAACCGAAAGTAAGTGCCTTAAAATTAGTCGAACACATTGCTAGTGCAACTGGAAAGCATGTCAATCCACGTATAGTACAAAGAACGTTGAACAGCCACGGTTTTCATGATAAAATACCACGCAAAGAACCTTTAATTTCTGAAAAAAACCGAAAGCTGCTCTTGGAGTTTGCCAAACAATATAAAGAAAAGGATTTTGATTTCGGGAAGCAAGTTTTATTTACAGATGAATCCAAATTCAATATATTTGAAAGCGATGGGAAAGCTAAAGTTTGGAGGAAAGCGAAAACAGCACTGACCCCGAAACATATAATGCCAACTGTAAAGCATGGTGGTGGCAGTGCTATGGTTTGGGGAGCCGTAGCTGCAACTGAAGTAGGAAAAATAGCTTTGACGTGGATTGACATGCTTCCCAGTTGCATTAGCAATGTGTTCGACTAATTTTAAGGCACTTACTTTCGGATTTTTGTTAACTTCTTTTAAAACCAAGCTGACATCCCTACGTATGAGTATCCTTGGGCGGCCACTGCGAGGCTTATTTTCAATAGAACCACTATTTTTATAATTTTTTATTATCGTCTGAACTGTTGATCGAGTCAAATTTACTAATTTTGATACTTTTACCATAAGGTTTTTTTTCATTTCTATGCTTAATAACCTGATTTCGCATATCACTTGAAATTCTTTTCGTGGACCCTTCGTGTCAATTAAATACCACTCTCAAAGCACAACTAAGTGCATTATATAAATGTATGACTCATGCCACAAGCATGAAATATGAAAAACGGTACTTTCCCGTTTAACATTTAAATTACTGTCGACTATATCTAACAACCAATGAAGTGTATGTAGACTTTTGTCAATGATTTTTTTAGGTTTTTTTCGAATAACTTTGTTAATTTATATTGATGAATGGATTTTCTTTTGTTTATTATTATTAAAAAACAGTTCTAAACAAAACTGTATCATTACTTTTTTCTATTATGTCCTTGGATTTACGAGCTAGCAAAAATGGGGGGTGTATGTAGAGTTTTGTCGCTGACTGTATATTGTTTTTAATATGAAAATACTCTAAAGTAGGTGTAAAGGTCATATATCTATAGTATTACTTTATTATTCTCTAAACCATTAAATTTACATCACGAGCTTTTCAAAGCTGAACGAGGGGCTTGAGCTACTTTGCTTACACATTAACCATAAAAGTTTTTATTAATTTATTTGCAGTAAAATACTTACAGTTATAAATTTTTTATGAATATTTAAATCAATTTTCTGCTTCAGTTTACATAAACTTTAGAAATTTGTGCATTTAATTTTTTATTTTTACATTTTTTTGTATATCCAACACTGAATGCTCTTGCTGACAGATCTGCATATAGATGGATCTATCTGTATTTACATATTTTATGGAAAAATATTTCGTTTTTTAGGGAATCATACTTGTTGCATTTTCCGTCTCCCGTCTCCCGAACTCCGTCTCACAATGAAATTTCAAGTGAATTTTTCAATTAACTATTATAATTTTATATATGAATTTATTTTTCGTTTTTTTTTGTTGTATAGTCAGACGCACTTTCACCCGTGAAATTTTAAAAGAATTTTATTTATGTTTTTTTTTTATATTAAAAATCTAAAAAAAAAAATATTATTGACAGGGGCATTCAAGGTATGTGACTGCATATAACAAACAATTGGAAAATGGAAATTTAATTAAATTTTTTATATATTTCGTTTGTGGGTTTTTCTTCTTTTTCTGCGACTGAAAGATTAAAAATGCTTAAAACACAAAAGGGAAAGTAATTGTTAATTTTTCGTATCTGTAAGCCCAAACTCCGAACCGAAAAAAAAACAAAAGAATATTTTTAATATTTATAAAATAAGATAAAAAAACAAAAAATAATTATGAATTCCAAATGAATTTTCAATAACCTTGACTACATTTTAAAAAATTCCTTAAGAAAACGCTGCCGCCGAAAGCTAAATTCATTTTCTTTCGAAACGAAAGAAAGTGAAATATTAAAACAAAAGCAAAAAAAAATAAAATACAACAAAAACTTATAAAAAAACACGGTAATTTAATAAAACAAAATAAAATAAAAATTTGGAAAATATTGAATGTGGTGCGATGTAGTCGACGCTGCAGCAGCAGAGACATTGAGGCGCGTTTCAGGAAAACTCAACCCCTTAGCATAAACTAAACAAATCGAGTGTATTGCCTAATGGGCGGGACGGTGACAGCACAAGGTCTCGCACAATAACAGACACTTTCATTGCTGATGCCGATGCTTATGCTTATGCTTACAGTGCGACCGTCAACGTAACCGCCATCATCTCTGCTACTCATGCTGCTTCTGTTGCACGCGTCGCACTATGTTCACTACAATTTGATTCTACATATTATCATTTTAAGTTGACGATAAATGCTATTGAAGAAACTTATTCAGCAGATGGGAGGGTGGGTGCAGTGCATTGGGTTTTCACGGCACTTTTCGTTTATACATTAATTTTCGCCTGGCACTTGAACTAAATATTTTGCTGCGATCATTCGTTCATTGCTTGCCGTTGTTGTTATAATTGTTGTTGTTGTGGGTTTCAGTTTCTTGGCACAGATTTTTTTCCTCAGTCGTACTTTTTTATTTCATTTTTCAATAAATTTTTTAATTTTTTATGGCAGCTGCTGCGATAAAAACACGACAACAACACAGCGACGACAAGCCAAAGCAGCACGCCTAACTGCACGACGCAACGACAATGCGAAACAACAACACCAACACCAATAACAACAACAACAACATTCAAAAAAATTGGCGACTATAATGAAGGCAACTTAATTATGAAAAATTAATTGCTAAAAATATTTAAATTTCGTTTGAAAAATAATTTTTTCCCGACATTTTTTGCTTAAAATAAGAAAAAATTTTAAGAAAGTCGAATGATCCATTCATAATTATAAAATTATGTCTGTTAATCCAGAAAATACAACAAATTTTTGCATTTATACACTCATATATTTGAAAAAATAAAATGATCCACATACGATATCAACATATATGTACTTATCATATATTATTCATATATAATAATTTTAGAAATTTATTGCTTTTATATTAAATTAACTCGAATATTTTCACTAAATATAATACACAATACACAAAAGCACACTTTTGAATACTAACGTATTTATGAAACAAATGGCGACAGCACTACGAAAACTTTTCTACGAAACTTAGCTTTGCGTAAAGTACGAAACTCTCAGCCATTTTGTTGCACGGAAATCAACGAACCTCTCGTGTGTACGATTCAACGACGACTAACCCTGTGGCATGCCAAGACTTGACTGCCATGCTACAATTTGCAATTTCCCACTATTTTATCAAAGTGAATTGCAAGCGCAGATAAAGAAATTTCACTCGAAAATAAATTTTATTTATTTATTTGAGTTTTGCCAAAGCAAACTTTCCCGCTATTTTGCCTTAACATTGTTAACAATAGAAGCTTCTATTATTATTATTATTGTTGCCACTGTTTTGTTTTTTGTTGGCATTGTTGTTGTTGTTGTTGTTGTTGGTGCATTATGTACTCTTCTTGTTTTCGCTGTAATTTCGCTCGTATTCCCTACAAACTCAAAATTGTTTTTATTGTCATTGTTTTTGTAGGTTTTTCACTTTAATTATTTTGTGTTGTTTTTTTCAGATTTGTTTTGATTTTATTTTTTGTTGTGATTTTAACTGTTAAAGCAACAACAACAGCAACAACATTAATGGCAATTGTTTAACAAGTCACCGATAAGGACATCAATGATTATAAAGCATCATTTTTATTTTGTTTTTGTGTGTTTTTTTGTGCGGGAAATTTTATCTGGCACAATTTTTAAATTGCTTAAAGTTTGCGTTTAATCTGCTATTTATATTAATTTATTATTGTTTTTATTTTAGTTTAATATTCAGTAGTTTAATTTTATTTCGAACTGTTGGTATATGTTTTATTTAAGCTACGCCAACACAAAAGAGCAATTATCTTGACTTTTATTTTGTCAGAGCGTATGATAATTTTTTTTTGCAAAATATTTAGAATTTTTTTTATTTTATTAGTATGAGAATCTTTAGAAAACTAATTACATAATGTTATAATGGAATTAGTACGTTCACCTAAAACAAATGGAATCAATGCTGAGTACCAACCGACGCATAGTAAAAGTTAAAATACAAGACTTTTTAACTAAGCTAAGTGCATAATATTCGACTTTAATCTATAAAAATTATTTTATAACCTTATAATATTATTTCCTTTTGCTTTACCTATTCAGTTGAGTTATAACAACCACTTACACTTTATCATACTTTCATAGTACCTCTTCCATTAAACTATATTTATAACACAAGTTAAGATCCACTACAAGTAAAATATAAATTTTCAAGTAAATTTTCAATCTTCATTACTTTTTTGTCCCTTCGATTAACTTGTAATAATCAGTAATGGCTTTCATTCACCACTAACAACATTTAAAAGTTCACTTAATTGATATTAATTTTAATGATTTATACAAAAATAAAATCATTTCAATATTTTCGTTGGGAAAATGAAATGATTTAAGCATAATTTTATTAGGAAAATTAAATGGTGCTATTTTCATTTTTACATTCTTATTCAAACATGCCAACTGGCACATACGAACCAATACATTCAGGACTCAAAATGGCAGCAATTTCACTTCACCAGAAAATTGTGTTTTGCGCTGACGTCCGCAGAGTTTTGCGTTTCGTTGCTGTGGTATAAGCTACTCTTGTTGTTGTTGTTATTGTTTTTGTTTAAACATTCAGAGCGGGGTAGAAAAACAGAAATACCAACAAATTGGTCTTGATAGCTTTTCTGACAAATAAAATAAATACGCAAAACGATTTACTGACATTGCACTAAGCTTCATGTTGAGTAAGCATTCACCTGCGCGCTGCTACCAAAAATGTAAATTAAAAATTTATGAAAAAAAATTACAAAAATTAACAACAACAACAATAATAATAACAACAACAACATCATAAATAATAAGAAAATAAACGCTGCTGCTAAACGAACTTTGCAAGCGCCGTTGTCATTGTTGTTATGTTAACTGCAGGAACATCATTCCATTTGCTGTAAATAAGCCGAACTGTCGCGGAATCGCCGTTAACCGCAGAATTCGACAATGTTTGGTTTTGGCAAAAGTGCGACAATTGCTTCGATATCAGCACAAAATGATAAAAATATTGTTTTTGTTGGTTTTTCTTGCTACTTTATTGCTATTTGTTTTTTTCTTCATTTCTTTCTTATGTTCACTTTTTTCGTTTGAGAATTTTTAAAACAAAATTTAAAACTGGCAACTTCTGACATAAATGCGATTAAAGCGCTTTAGCACGCTCACGTGCTGCATTTCGGTGCTGTTGGGTATTTACGGGTAACGGTGGCTGTGTCAGTGACTGTGTGTGCATGTGCACGCGGTGATGTATTTATTTGCTTGTATATGTATTGGTCGCATCATTGGTGTTTTTGTGCCGAGCGTCAGCAGGACTAACAGGAGGCGTGTTTTTATGCAAAAATATTTTAATTGAATTGTCACCTCGGTGTGGTGGTACAGCCGCGCGATACAAAACGTTTGTTGGATCTGTTGAATATTTTTTCACCAATTTGTGGCGAACGGCAGCAGCGCTGGCAATAACTGCAACAACAATTTCGCTTACTTCATACATTTTGTGTTAATTTAATTGTTTTGCAATTTGGGCGCATTTTTGAAATTTTTGCCACTTTTATATTTTTATAACGCAAACAATTAAATTTAGTTACACATTTGCATAACCACAAAATGTAATAAAATTTAAAACGAAAACAAAAAAAAAAAAACAAAAATTACAATATATATTATTCACTCAATATAGATATGCTTCCTTTGTCCAGCTTTATGCCACCTACTAAATGTATATTATAATCCTTTCAAAATCCTAAAAATAAATTTAATCCATTGCGATTCGCAACAAAGGCACACCAAGGTATATAAAATTTTTCTCCACTATAGCTTATCACAAACATACATTCGCTCCTATATATTCGGCACTTTTTCCTCTGTCCAGAAAACACTAACTCATATAAATCGATTAGTCAAATGATATGCAGTTTTTCAATTATTTTAATGTAAATAATAAATTCATTTTATGTTTCATAAAAATTTAATGGGAAAAACGCAATTAAAATTCAAAACCAAAATATTTTTCAACAGCAACTAAAAGCCACTAAAATTCTATGAAATCATTTGTTAATAAAAATTAAGTGATTTTTTAAAACAACAACAATTAAGCATCGAAAATACTTTTCCATACATTCAATTGCAGTTGATCGTTCCAATGGCTAAAACTGTACCATGGCAACTTTTCAATTCAATACGAAATTTATTCTAAAAATTTTAAATTAATTTCGAAACTTTTAATTATTTTCTTTTTAATTGCCCAAACTAAATAGCGGTAATGGTTCAAATATTTTGACTTCGCCCATACATCATAAACACCGGACTACACACCGGACTACACACCGGACTACACACCGGACTGCTCACTGAATGTGGAGGCAAAATAAGTATTTTTTGGATGTACAACAATATCAACAATGCGCCTCGAAAGCAACACGAAAAATTAAATAAATAATTACCAAAAAATGTTTTGTGTACTCATCAAGCGGGACTGACTGCCCATTAATGGGGACCATACGAACTGGCAAAAATTTATTTTAAATAGTTTGAAAATGAATTGTAAATTATTTATCTATTTTATCAAGTTTTCCGACACTGATTTTCAGCGAAATGTTTTTACGAGTACCTGAGGAAAAACTTTTAAAAATCCTGTATTCTACACACTCAAGTCACACATATACACATATACTAATTTATATTCTGAATTTTGTATTAGATGATTTAAAAATCTGTTTTAAATTTTAAAAGTAAATTTAATTTAATTTCAGTAAACTTTTCAAAATTTATTAATATTTTTCCTAATTTATTATTATTACGATTATATATGAAAAACAATAATATTAATTAAATAAGTACACACATTAAAAATATGTTTTATTTTATATTATATTAGTATTAAAAGTTATTATTTTTTAATGCTTATCTTTAAACTGATGAAGATTAAGGTTGTCTTCTGACCAATAAACGACCTATTTTTGTTTGGTTGATGGCAGTGGCGAATCAACAGACACCCAGTATTGACGAGTTATTAACGTAGGATAATTTCAGAGAGATTTTACACTAGTTGTAAGAGACTTCCACCTATTATTAGCTGGTGAAAGAAAAATGTATTATATATTAACAAGTTTAATCGTTTTTCTTATGTTGTTATACATATATATATACGATGACAATTACATACTGTCCATTGCAATTATAAAATAGAAAACGAATAAAATTATATTTATTATTATTGTTGGAATAGAAAGTGAATGGAGTTTAAGATTTCAATGGAATGGAGCAACTTCATTTAAAATAAAAATCAAAATTGCTCTCGTTATAGATAGTACAATACCAAATAAGAATAGAAGCACATAAAACCGCATAACACAAAAAAAATGACTAAAAATCGAACTTTCTTTCAGACATCTTTTAGAGACAGTAGAGCTGATTGAAATGAATTCTCTTATGACCTAATAATAACTGAAGTGCTTTTTCTTACTGAAGAGCACATATCTTTGTAATTATATTGTAATTTTAAAGACGAATGAACTTTTTATTCTTACACTTACCTGTAGTGTGGCAACTTTAGCGGCGACTTTTGATTCTTAACAAAATATTGGTTATTAGGGACCTTACTAAATGTACACTAAAACTCTTGTTTATAGAAAGATGTACCTCAACTAATTTTTGAGAAATTTTGCGCGAAATCAGAGACATTCTAGTGTGACCAGGAATCCAAAAATACAGCATTCGCTTTTGAATTGGCAGTAGCAGTCCCGAAGTATTATCCAGTGCTACACATACAAAATACAAAAATATTTATGTAAGAAAAGTGCGAATTAAAAATTTAAATAACTATAAATATAACTATATCTTTCATTAAATAATGTAACATATACTTTACATTTTAAATGTAATAATTTCAGTAAACATCACTTCCTTTAAAATAAAAGTAATTGTAATAAACGTTTACAATTTGAATGATTGCACATAATTAATGTCTAAAATAAAATTACTAAATATTGAAATTTTAGTTAATATTAATTACAAAGTGTGTAAATAAGTTCATAAGACTTTGAACCATTTCCCATTG